GGGAGCAGAGCCTGCTTCCCCCGGCTCGGAGGTGTGGCCTGCCTCTGTGCCGGGGTGCTGGCCTGCATGCTTTGTCACCTCCGCACCCAGAAAAAGGTGATCGCAGAGGCAAACCCAAGCATTTCCCTCCGTCTTTTAGTTCTGCTACATATGCCTTCTTTTTCCGTTTGGAAATTTATAGTACAGGTGGAGCTTAAGGCCATGAGTTACTTGGTTGAGACTTCTGGATGTTTGGCGGGTTAGTTAAAGTGGAAGTTTAGTGTTGCAAGTGCGAGCCCAGTGAGTCACGTAAGCCAGCTCAGGTTCAACACTTATAACCAGCTCTTCACAGAAATACAACAAACTTAGGCCTATCGCATTCAAGAGGCAAGACTGTGACTTAAATTTCACTTTCTTAGTACTTGCGCTGTCCTCCCCAAGAATGCAGGTGGAGATGCTTTGACATGCAACTTCACTGTCCCAAAGGATAGTCAGAGGAAGTCTGTTAAAGATTAGCAAGAAAAGATATTCCTTCCTGTCTGGGACAGTCACAGAGCAGCATTCTCCTTCATTAAAGATACTGTTGTGCCGCATGCTCTCTGTTTTCATTCCACATCAGAATACGGGCTTTGCTTAAACACCATTCCAGAAGACAGATGAGGACATAATAAAACAACTTTTTTATTCCAACCCTGGTTTTGAGTGGAGGTAGAGTAACTTTTTTGGATGTATGGGGGATAGTGTCCCCGATTCATATGATGTCATTCTCACTTTCTAATTTACAAAAAAGAGGAACTGAGAAGCTGGAGGTATGCATAAAATGTGTATATTGTTGGAGGAGGAGAGACCATAATACTCACAACATTCTTCCACTAATTCTGAGGGGAGGGATAGTTGCATGTTTCTCCCTCTTCTGACGTTAGTGCAGTCTTCCAAGAAGTAAAGTCAGGTGCAAACAGTAAAGTCTCCTTGGTTTAGGCATTTGGAGACAGGATGGCAGAATTCGCTTCCTTTGGATAGTAGGTGAGAAAGAGCCCAGAGTAACACCTTTTCTTGTCAGTTTTGTAAGTAAACATGAAATGATAAAGTTTACTTACAAATCTTCCTGAAATACTACCTACAGATCCTTTTCAGATAAAGAAAAAAACTTCTTTTCTTGTCCAGAATGATGAGCATGTGATGTTTTATTAATATTTATTCCTAGAAACTTGAAATGTTCACAGAAAGTAGTAGAATAAACCCTCTAGTAGGAAAAATGCTTGCTTGCTTTCTTGTTTGGTACTGCATTTGGTTTTGAGGGGGGATTTGCTGAATTAACTACTTGGCACTTGATTTATGATTAAATGACTATTACTTTTTATTGCTTTCTATCTAGACTTCAGGAATACAAAGGAAAATCCAAGTAATTCTAACTACTAGATGGATAACGGCGTGACTGTGTGTCACGGTGGTCGGTGCTATCTTGCTTTGTATTTAATTGCTCTTGTGTCTCTGAATTTTTCTGGAACTTATTGGCTCATTCTTAGATTGCAATCTGTTTGGGACAGGGATTGCTTTTTTTGTGTTTATTTTTAGAAAACATGCAACCAGGTGGTCTTGGTCCCTAACAAAGGTCTGTAGTTGTTCCAAAACCAGAAATATGATAACAGATTGCAGATTTAATTTTATGTCTTATTTGACTAGTACCAAATTATCAATGCCATCCAGCATCTGTTTGATTGGTGTTAAATGAATTAGTTGAGTTTAGTTCGTGTAACAGAAAATAATCCTTGAGAAGGAAGTATTTGCATTTTTGTTGGTCATGTTAGTAGTGATGTCAGGCATCAGTTTGTGTGTTGGAAATTGTCGTGTGTTTATGCTGTAAAAGAGATTTATAACACTTGGCAGGTTAACATAGGTCAGTAGAGAACAGAGGTTGTTGATGTAATTCATCTTTCAAATATTCACATTTTTAAAAGCATGATTTGTAAATTAATTAAGATATATCATAAAATGTGACTGCTAGACTGGTACAGCACTAATGTATTTCTTTGCTAAAGATGTGCAATAATGTGGAAATTTTGTTTAAACAAGATTTCCAGTAGATGATGTCTGCTTTTCTTCTAGTTGAGTTCATTTAGTGACTGTGGAGTGTCTGAGGATGCATATCATAGGCCTGAATAATTGCTGCTTTTTTATACTTTTAAAATGTGCATTCTGATAATGTATTAATTTTTTTCTAAGATGCTTCATGCTGAAAGTAGAGTAAGGCCCTTGGAGTGTCAGGATGAAATCACAACTGAACCATGTTCTAAAAAAATGAAGTCAACAGAAGGGTTTTACAAGAAATTCTCTGATGATGGCAACCAAGGTACTCAAGAAGAACTGGACACTGAGAGAACATCAGATGATTTGGTACCGGCATATGCCTCTGATAACCAAGGGCAACTTGAAATGCAGAAGCAAGAGAAAATACCTACTAGCGTCCTGGGAACATTGCATGAAGTGCTCCCTGAAAATAATCTAGTGCTTAGTCAGCCAATTGATTCAGAAACTCTGCAGAATGTAAATCCTCCGTTTGCATCAATAAATGACACTAAAGTTGAAGAAAAGAAAGGCCCTTTTATTACAAATAATACTGGTGAAGATGATATTAGAAATAGTAGTACATCATTCTCAATAAATCGGAATGCATCAGATGAAGAGTTTTTTACAAGCAAAGAATTTATCGGACCGATTTACAAGCCTGCCGAAAGCAACAAACAGAACAAATCTGGCAGTTGCAATGAATGTAGAAACAGTGAGGGAGATCAGAATGAATTGCATGAAAACCAAGCTAAAAGAAAGGAGGCAAAGAAGATGCAGACTATTTCTTCTGCTGTACCAGAAATAGATGATGAACTGGACCAGTTCTATAAAGAAATTCACCAGCTGGAAAATGAAAATTTAGATACTAATTTTCAGGAAAAAGAAACTGAAATTTCTCAGGAACAATTCTCTCCGTCTGACTGCAGTCAAACCTCACAAGAGGATTATCAACGCGTATTGTTGGGCAGCCCACAACCATTTTATGAGAATGGACAGTGTTTCTTTGGGGAACAGAACAGTCAGAAAACAAGCAGCGAGCAGCAGTTTGTCATGGAAACAAGTGGCTGGAAAACTGAAAATACCTTTAATGGACAAGTAGATTCTAAATATTGGAACTACTCAGTGCCTGAATTCAGACCTGCTTGGCAGTCAACGGAGTCTTTCATAGTACCTCAGGGATCTCTTCCTCCTAGATTCAACCATCAGTCGCACTTTCCGATGTTTAATTCCCCACCACAAAAGACAAATGCTCTCCCTTCTCAGAATGGTGAACTTTTGTACAAAAATTATCATGGTTACCATGGAAATACTGATATCAACAGTCATGGTCCATTGCTTGATCGAAGTACCAGGTATGCTGGTCATATTGATATCCATCCTACTCAAGTCTTCAGAAATGGAAATAATGAGCAGAATGGACTCCAAAATAATGGTTTCTGTGAAACCAGAGAAGAGTGTTGGAAGGCTCCAAAAGCTGACAATGCAGAAAGAATGCACAGCTTTTCTTCCTTGCAGTTACCTGAAGAAAGATTTGGTTGTTCACAGAAATTGCTCGTAATCTTAAGAGGCCTACCAGGTTCAGGGAAATCAACACTTTCTCGGTAAGTAAAGACTTAAAGCTTGGGAAGCTTATTAAATTAATTTTTTTCAAGTATTTTTACAAAAAAAAACCCCTGTAAGCACTTGGTAAACTTTGGTATTTGTAAATTAGGCTATTAAAATGCAGTAACTTTTACTTAATGAGGACATATGACAGTAAATACTGAAAAAAAAATGGTTTTATTTTGTCTCCTTTAGACTTTTGATGAACAGGAGCTGGTTTATGTTAAATTTAAAATGTTCTGTATCCTTTAAATTTCATAATCTTTTATTCTGAAACTTTGAGATGTACTAGTATGTGATGATCTGCCTCTATTTCATTCTCAAATTCCTTCGTTTAAAAAAAATCTGTCAAATCTAACAGCATTAATTTGACTGAACCGGAAGTGCTTTTTTATGCCCATGCAAAAATCTTCAAAGACCATTAGAAGAATTTTGCTACTCTAACAATACTGAATTTGTTTTCAGTATGTTGATGAAACCGAGTGTAATCTCATTCAGGTTTTTTTGTACTACAATCTGTCAACTTCTCTATTAGTGAACAACATAAAAGAAAAATATATTTTCCCTTAAAAATATAGTTGTTGAAGTCTGACAGGTTAAAAGCAAGACCACCTCCAATTTGGATTTTCACTTTTTTCTTTTGGCTTAGTTTAAAAAGCATGTAAGTTGACATAAAGCACAGACACTATCTCTTTTAAGTGAAAATAGGTTTCTCTTGCATGCAAAAAAAAAGTTACTATATCAGCACTTAGTGACTGAGCTTCATCCATAAACTAAACATCACAAATGGGATGTCTTCTGTGATGATCTTATGTTGTATACTAAGAGTCTATGAAAAAGATACAGTGATCATGTTCTTCCTTGTTTTATGTATAAAGGAGTAATCTTGCTGTTTGATTTCCCACCCCCCACCCCCGTGATATTTAGGAGACCGTGATCTCCATATCATAGAAAAATACCTATTAGAAATTTCTAGCTTACATATTTGTATGATTATAACATTTTCTAGTTACTGAGTGCTCTATTTTGCAAACCTGTGTTTCTGAAGCTGTGTGAGCCTGTGTGGGTATTATTACAATAATTTCTTTAATATGAGAAAGCAACATAGAAAATTTAAAAAAAACAACCTGTGGAAAAAATGCTGCCTCAATGCAAGAATTGGATAATACTTAATGTGAAGATATCTAATAGAATAGGATATTTTGTTTTGCATGTTTTGTGTGCTGAATTGTCTTTGAATCTTTCTCAAATATTTATATTACCTGAAAGATTCTAAATATCTTCAGGTTTTTAGGAACACATATTCTTGCTTTTTTCATCTCTTGCTAGTGAGATCAATTACTAATTTCATTTAACAGGTGGGAAAGTGGGCACTGTGAGTGAGATCAAGGTCAAGAATAGTCCCCAAATTTAGGTGCAGAATTTGAACTGTGTGGGACTTGTTTTTCAGTGTATTCAGTTATATCCACTTTCATGTGTTTAAAGCTTGGTTGCAGTTGTAAATTCCCATAAAATCATGACTCTGGTACCTGGTGATGGGGGAACCCAGAATTAATATCTGCCTATGAGGAAAATATACGTATTATTAGTTAAGTCTTATTCTTAATAAAGTTGACTGTGTTTTTGTGTGTAACATCATAGACTTCTGCAGTGTAGAGTGTGACAGCAAATACAGTCTTCTGATGTCATATTAGTACCCACAGGTATCTTTGCAGTCTTGGCATCATTAGCATCTGCAGACAAACCTCTACGATTTGTGCTAGCAAAATGACTGTGTAGGAAAAGCAGAAAATTGATACCATCTTTGTGGATCAGCACTAGAAGGGAATGAGATGCATCTTGCAAGTGGGTTTCCCACGTATGAAATGACGGCAGAGCAGTAGTGAGACCCAGTAATCTTGCATTCCTGTCTGCATTTTGTGCAAAGTGAGGGCTTGTAAGTACAGGCACTTTTCCTCCTGCTGCCAAACTTCACCCATATCTGTCCTGAATCTTCCACTGAAGTCTGTGTTTTGTTTTGACTCTTCCATCCCAACCATGTGGAATCACAGGAATGTTTTTTGGAATATGCTTCTGGAGGTCAACTAGTCCATCATTCTGCTTGGAGCAAGTCTGTCACCATCGTTGGATCAAATCAGCTGTGTCTTTGTCTAGCCTGATCTGTGTTCTCCTGTGTTATACCATATGCTATCACCTGGTAGAATCTGGCTCATCATCTTTGCAGCTTCCTTTCAGGTAAGGGGATGGTCTTATTCACTGCAACAGGCTGATACCAGATGACCTTTTACTGTCTTCACTGCCAGACTAAACAAGCCCAGCTGCTATTAACCTCCCCTTCTAGGTTGTATGCTCTTAGCCATCTTGGTAGCCATCTGTTCAACCCTTTAATGGTTTTCAGCATGTCTTTTGAACTGGGAAGCCTCAAACTGGACACTATTTCAGAACTGACTGCACAAGAGCCGGATAGAGTGTGGATGATACTTTTCATTGATCTACTGGCCACATTTTCTCTAATAAAGCCTAGGATGTGTTTTGCTCTTCTTTCGATGAGAGCATGCCATTCACTCCTCTCCAGTTTGATATCCACTGTAATCCTCAGATCCTTTTCAGCAGGGCTGCTCAACCAGTCACTTTATATCCTGTACTGATGCTTAGGTTTCTTTTTCACCACCTGCAGAACTTTGTGCTTTTCCTTGTTGAGCTTCATGATGTTTTACTTAGCCCGGTGCTCAAGTTTCTCAATGTTCTTCTGGATAGAAGCCGTACTGTTGAGTATGTTGGGCATCACTACTAATTTGGTGTCATCTGCAAGTTCTCTGCCTCATCATCCAGGTTGCTGATGAATATACTGAAAAAATTGGTCCCACTATCATCCCTTGCTGTAGTCTGCTTGTTACTGACTGGGAGATGATGTCAGAAGCCTTGATAATTTCAAAGTATGCTACATTCATTGCTCTGTCCTCATCTACAAAGGCAGTTGTTTCATCAGAGAGTACATTCTGGTCAGTAAAGAATGATTTGTCTATTGCAAACCCCTTGTTGACTCTTCCCAATTACCTTAATTTCCTTCACATGTCTGGAAATAGATTTGAAGAGGATGCATTCCATTGTCTTTCCAGGAACTGAGATTTGAGCAGTCTTTAGTTCCTTGGGTCCTTGTCTTTACTTGCCTTAAATACAAGCATAAAATCAGTGGTTTCCTGGTCATTGGAGAGTTCCCCTCATTTCCTTGATTTGTTTCCTGCTTTCACTTGACCTAGACAATCTCAGCCTCCTGAGGCTCGTTCAAGTTCCTATCTCTTTATACATCTATTTTCAGTTTTGTTTTCCTATTCCTGTGCAACCATGGCTTTTGATCTGTGCTTACTAGCTCCACCTCCGCTCCTAAATTCTAAACTGATTTCTCAATTCCTTCTTCTCCACCACCTTTCTTCCCAGATTGCTCTTACCCCTGTTTCAGCTGGTGGTGTTACCTCATTCCCAGCTTTGTTGTACCAATTTTTTCCTTGCGCTTCACTCTTTGCCTTGTCCCTATTTCCTAGCTCTGCTGCTGGTACCAAGTTGCTTGTTCCAGTGTTTGTACCACTATGCTTCCCATGTCCTTCCTATTTTAGAAGTTTTATTTCTTCTCTTGCCATTCTTAAGATTGTGTTGGGAGAAACATGTTCTTACAATGCAGTATGGGTACTGAATCAGCTTCCTGTCACTGCAAGAATGCTCTGTATAGGAATGGGCTTACTGCAGTGAGAATCTGCATTTTCTATTCAGTACAAAAATGAGTACTTTTCACTATCGTTTTCTGTGCACATGACATTTTAAAGTCCTATAGCTTGGGCAAATTTACAAACCTTTTTGCAGGGAAAACAAACACATACACTTTGCCAGATTAACTTCCTCAGTCCCAAACTTCTCAGAAAAAAGGCTTGGAATAGCAAAACATGATAAAAATGCTGTGTTTCTTCCTTTGTTTTGGAAGTGATTGACCATTTAGTTAGACATTTTCTAAAACAATTTGGCCAGACAGATACCCAGCAGTGGTATCTCTAGCCCAAGTAACAAAAGTCTGCTACAATTAGGTGATAATATAATCTTATAATGCTGGAAAAAGTTACAAGTGGCGTTCCTCAGGGCTTGGTGCTGGGATCAGCACTATTCAACATCTTTGTCGGCGACATGGACAGTGGGATCGAGTGCACCCTCCGCAAGTTTGCTGACAACACCAAGGTGTGTGGTGTGGTCGACATGCTGGAGGGAAGGGATGCCATCCAGAGGGACCTTGGCAGGCTGGAGAGGTGGGCCCATGTGAACTGCATGAAGTTCAACAAGGCCAAGTGCAAGGTCCTGCACATGGGTCAGGGCAATCCCAAGCACAGCTCCAGGCTGGGCAGAGAATGGGTTGAGAGCAGCCCTGAGGAGAAGCACTTGGGGGTATTGACTGATGAGAAGCTCAACATGAGCCGGCAGTGTGTGCTTGCAGCCCAGAAAGCCAACCGTGTCCTGGGCTGCATCAAAAGAGGTGTGACCAGCAGGTCAAGGGAGGTGATCCTGCCCCTCTACTCTGCTCTTGTGAGACCCCACCTGGAGTACTGTGTCCAGCTCTGGGGGCCCCAGTACAGGAGAGACATGGAGCTGTTGGAGCGAGTCCAGAGGAGGCCACGAAGCTGATCAAAGGGCTGGAGCACCCCTCCCAAGAGGACAGGCTGAGAGAGTTGGGATTGTTCAGCCTGGAGAAGAGAAGGCTCTGAGGAGACCTAATTGTGGCCTAGTATCTAAAGGGGACCTACAGGAAGGCTGGAGAGGGACTGTTTATGAGGGAGTGTAGTGACAGGACAAGGGGTAATGGCTTTAAACTGAAAGAAGGTACATTTAGATTAGATATTAGGAAAAAATTCTTCACTATGAGGGCAGTGAGGCACTGGAACAGGTTGCCCAGAGAAGTTGTGGATGCCCTATCCCTGGAAGTGTTCGAGGCCAGGTTGGGTGGGGCTTTGGGCAAACCGGTCTAGTGGAGGGTGTCCCTGCCTGTAGCAGAGGGCTTGGAACTAGATGATCTTTGAGGTCCCTTCCAACCCAAACCATTCTATGAAAACAGACTTGGATTTTTAGGGCGTTTTGATACTGAACTTGGCAGTAATTGCAATTTTCCACTTGTCTATAAATATCTGAATGTGAATTTGAATAAAAAGGACCTTAATGAAGTTGAAAGAACAAATATTGGTGTCATTTAAGAACTACATTTTGAATTAAATATGTTGCAGGAGTATATAAAGACAGTTGTCTTTATCTGGGGCCATTCTTCCTGAGAGCTCAGTCTTCTGAATGGAAGAGTTAAAGAGTTAGTATGTATAGCTGAATGTAGAAACAATTGTGTGCTGCTGTTTCTAATTATATATTTCTTTAAACTGTGTTACAAGCAAATCTTTTAAAGTAGCATTTACATAGATTAATAATACTACAGATTTAAAACTTACATTTAGTTATTGTCTATTTTTTTCATCATTTGTGGTATGTTAGCTATTTTAAATAGGTGAATTGTTAGATTCTAAGATATCTTCTTTATAATAAAATCATCTGTCAAAGTAGGCTAACCAGAATGCAGGTTGGGGGACCATTTTAGTTTTGAAGAAAAAATAAGGCAGGATTTGTTTATGTTTTGGTGCACACATGCCCTGGAAAAAATGCGTATTGATTTGCTGACTAGTTAAAATGAGCATTTTAGGTTTCAAGATGAGTTTCATACGTTGAGCTAATAGCTTCTATTAGATCAGATAGCATGTCTGGAAAAAGTAAGTGAGCTGCTTTAATTTTTACATCTGCTTTAATTTCACTGTCCTACTGTGTTCAAAGGTGGGTGTTCGATTGCAGGGAAGGTTTAGGGTGAAAAAGTTGCATTACAGCAGTTGGATAGTACTGCTACTCGTTTCAGGCATGTGCACATGCTGAGTGATCTGTTATTTGACTCTCTTACTAGAAATATATTTATCTTTTTTCTTCATCTCTTAAAAGTGGAGTATCATCTCTTTGTGGGTTTAGATAGTAATGATGCTTTCTTTGCATAGATGTGCTTTTTGTTATTTCTGTTTCCTAGTTCATGAGTCTGGGATAAATTTTATTTCCAAATACATGTTAAAAGTATGTGAATTACTGAATGTGACATCGACAAATATGTTTTAAATTTTACAAGTTTAAGTAATGTGAATTCTGAAAGAGGTAATTGTCAGGCTTTTAAAATGTTATGTTTTATGATTTAATTTCACAGTTTAGAAACAGGCTATGATCATTGCTGTAATAATTGAAGTTTCAGTTTGTAAACTCATTACTTTGTGACAGGTTGTGTGTGATGTGTAGGGTAAGGGGTCTGTTACTGTGCCCTCCTTGGTAGTCGCTTTGCCTTCCCAAATTCTGTAGTTTTAGGATTATTTCTGCAAACATAGTTTACCGTATTAAATCCATTATATCAGTTATATAGGTTCATAAACAAATTGTGGTGTATTCTGAACTTCAAAGAATAATAAAAGTATTTCAGGAATAAACTTTGTTGATGGGTTTGCAAGATTCCCAAACCCTTGCCATTGTGTTTCTTTATTGTTACAACTAGTGATCTTTGGAAGATACAACAGGAGAATTTGACTAAGTGAATTATTCTCCAGAACACTGAGCAAACGGAGTCAGTTCCTAGAAATAAAAGTAAAAATGAATGCTCCATTACCATTGATTCATCAGTTCATATGTTTCCTACAGAAACCTGATGGTCAGGCTCCTAGGAGCTGTAAAGGTATGTCTATCTACTCAGCTAGTAGAAGGTTCCCAGTGATTATTTGCTATCTCTTTTATTAAGGCAGATGCTCCTTACTCTTAAAGATGTGTGTATACATTCAGCACACAAAAAGTGGGTATGGAAGGTGGATGTGGTTTTTCTAGCATTATTAATTGGCAAACATAGCATACTGTAAATAAGAAAATTGGGCCATGTGTAAAATCATGGCCAAGTAACAATATAAATTCCTGTTAAATATTTTATATGAGAGAGGAATAGATATGAAAAAATGCTGTTGTGTGTGGTGTATGATTTACTTGGTGCCATTTTATCTACTTAGAACAAAAATAGGCTTTGAATCTTTCTGTGCTCTCCTAAACCACTGTAATAGACATCCTATTAAAAGACATAGACTCTAACGAAAATGATTATTGAACAGTATCATGCTCTGCTTTCTGAAATAGCATTGCTATTTATCCTGAGGGAATGTTAATACTCTGGTAAAGGGAGAAAGAACAAGAAGGAAAAAACTGCTTGTGTGCAGCTTTGATCATGTTGCTTGACAGTTGCATCATTAGTAGTTTCTTCTGGTCCTTAGTAATCTGAATTTTGTTGTTACAGATGTCTGTATTTTAAAAGCAAAAATAACGGACAACATAGTTGTGGGACAGTAAATGTGTAGGAATATAAGTTAATGTACAGCATCCCAGTCTTTACCTCAGCAATAGTGCATCCCACATACTGCTAGTGCAGTTTGGGTTTTGTGGCCTTTGGGTACATTGCCAATTTTTGAGCCAGAATAGGTGCCAAAATTTCCATAGGACAGTGATGTCTGAGTGTTGCAATGGCCTATGAGTGCTCTGTGACACTAACAGACTGTTTCCTTTTTTCAAATTCAGATATACTATAGCAAACAAGAATAGTCAAGGAGGTTTTGCAGTCACATTTATTTTGGAGGTCAGACTTCAAATAGAATTGTACTGTTGTCTCAGTTTACAAGGTTTTCCTTTAAACCTCAATTTGCAAGGACTTTCTGAAAATAAAATTTACATTTGGCAGAATGGGGATTGCTCATTGGGATGGATTAATGTAGATTTGATTTGACAGAGATTCTGATGTTATTGATCAACCAGCAGTTAATTATGCCCTGTAACTTTGTTATAACCAGTTTCTCTGACTTACAGGTATTTGTTGGCATGCTTGGACAACATTTAGGATGAATTTTAATTAAATCCAAAAGTCAGCTCTATGAGGCTTCTAGAAGGCGTGACTGTGGCATTTCATGACAATGCAAATAGAGAATTGTAGAAAAGCTTAATGGATTTTTGTAGCATTCCTACATCATCCATTACAATATCTTCTGTAAACGTATCAGTAATATAACATATTACAACAAAGAGTAAAAATATATTTGTTAACAGTGAACATTGCAACTGTGTCCCTCTGAGTTCCCCTTTTTACCCTCACTGGCTTCCCCACAGTGTTTTTTATTGTTTCGTAAATTATACTTAAATTTGTTTGATAATCTTTAACGTTAGCTGTGCAAGAAGCAGAATGTAATGTAACTTATTCTGACCTACAAATGAAAAACTTCTAGCCAGTAAAATATCTATGTTGCTTGGAAATGGCGGGCCAAAAAGACTGGGTAAATGGGAAATTTGCGTTTTCCTCTTTTTTATCTTTATAGATTCTAATTTGAATCTCTATATATTATCCATTTGCTTACAAATTTGTTTTGCTTTGGTTTGCCTGTTTGTTTCCCCTCCATAAAAATGCATAGTATTTTTGAGAGAATATTCTGTCAGATTTTGTTGAAATTGGTCTATATGTCCGAAAGTCACCATGGAATGGTATTGCCTTTCCTGCCTTTTGGTAGGAAACCAAACTAAAACACTCTAATCAAGTGGTTTAAGTAATTTGAGAAGTGATTGGTTTTCTCCTGATTTGAAGTGATACATGCAGGGATAGTAAACCACATGGCTTTCCTATCACCCTGTTAGCATTAAAGTATGAATGATAGGGAAAACCAGTATAATTGCCTGATAGAAACTGAGATATGAAAAAATCCTATCTTAGATGACAAGAAATATATTAGACTGAAACTACAGTTCTGCAAGGCGTGGTAACCCATGTAGCAGCTAACTGCTGCTCAGTCAATGGAGGTCTCCATTGATAGCTGGCCACTTTTAATGTACCACCTTTTGAGGCCTTTTCTTAAATAGGCTTAACTGCTAACGCCTCAGAAAAGTAACTCGGGGGGAAAAAAAAAAGGATAAAAGGATTGCTTTCTTCTGAACATGAATTCCAGTAGCTTACAGATCCAGTGAGTGTCGGAGTTGATGAGAAAATAGAGGCAAGTAAGACTATGTCACCAGGATTGGAGTATAGGACACAGAACTGGAATAGAAGAGTATAGGACACAGAACTGGAATAGAAGAGTATAGGATCTTGAAGGAATAGGTGCATTCTTCTGTAATCTCAACTTTCATTAGTAGGGCAATCTTGAAAGTTTATTGTGATCTTTTACTTTTTCCTGAAAACAGGGAAATTGAAGTAAACATTAGTACCTTGCTTTTGCTGTTCCATTTCAACGCGTGTTGTATGTGCAGACATCATGGGCAAAGGTCACAAGAGGGCTTGTGAGAGTTTAAGATTGTGAAAAAGGATTTGAACATCCAGTTCATTTCATAGCCGCATCCAGATTCCTCATGATCAGATTGGTTTCTAGAGATAATTCCAAATGAGAATTGATACGGAAAATGTTAGTAAATACATGATTATGATGCACTTAACACTTACTGAAATATAACCATAAATTAGATAGGTACAAACATCTCTTGGGGGTGAAGGAGAAGAAACAACAAATACAGAAATAGTAGGGGAAAATATATTGCTTTAATTAGAATTCTTGGTATTACATATGAGTGTACTTTTATAAACATGTTCGAAATTTGCAAGAAGTTCAGAAATAGGGCACAGTTCAGTTTATTTTAGCTATAATTTTTTTCTGTGTCTTTTTTTCTATCTGAGAAATAAAAGTTAAAATATTTTTACATTTTCCTTTGTTTAACAGTATTCTACTTGGTCAAAGTCATGATGGCATTATATTCAGCACCGATGATTATTTTCGTCAACAAGATGGATATACATACAGTGCTGCTCAGCTTGGTGATGCCCATGACTGGAACCAGAAGAGAGGTTTGAATGCATAAGAGGAATTCTATTAAATTATGCTTATATTTAGAAAATAGAAATATATCATAATGTGCATGTGTGTTAATAGTCTATATGAAAAGGAGTACATATATATATTTTTAGATTTAAAGTGTTCTTTATATTTAATTAATGTATATATATACATTAAATTTTGAGCTTATAGAAGGTTCAGAGGTAAAAACAGAAAATCTCTCTTCTTTGTGCTATGACCTGCTGATTTGTTACATTTGATACTAGTACCTTGGTGGCAGAATTGAGTATCCTGTTTTTCCAGTATCTTTACTAATCTGAGATACACCCAAAATTTATGGAAGAGTTTTTCTGAGGAAGATTGGAAGATTTTAGTTCACTTGTGTAGATTAGCAACTTTAAGTCATCTTTCTTAATACCTAGCAGTGTCCAAAGGTTGGGTTTAATTAGTAAAGAAGTAGATACTTGTGATAAGAAGGGTAGCATACAGATTCTTGCTTTTTCTGTAGCAGTTTTCTAAGAATCTCATTATCTGTTTGGTCTGCTCCAAGGAGTGGAGCAGATTACTCTCTGTGCTGCAGTGTCTCAAGCAGAAGTTTCCTTCTTGTCTAGAGGACTACGTGTTTGCATCAAAAGATACAGAGGGCCAAGGAAAAAAAAATCTCCTCTTTCCTCCCCTCCTCACCCTAATGCAAAATTTCTCATACATTGGGGACCATTTCTGTATGAACAGTTACGGATTTTTTTTTTTTTTTTTGGAGAAATCATCAGAATATCAGTTATTATTGCTGCACTTTAACCTCAAAAATGCTCTTTATAAATACTTTGAATGAAGTTTCCCAGTAGGAGCCTAAGGAGCAGAACAGTTGATAAGGTAGTAGTTTATGGATGGGAGAGCTCAACCCTTCACAATTATAATACCACCTAACAGTTCTCACTTGATAATGGCTTTAAAGCCGTTCTGGCTGTTTCTGACTAGACCTTAAGATCTCTCTAGTTCTGCATCACTTAGTTACACAGTGTTTTTTTGTAACCAGAACTGTGCATTTTTTTATTTAGTTATTCAGTCATTTTGATACCAAGAATAAAAGCAGCTTTGCTGTGTTTTACAGAATACCCCCACTGCGAAACATCTGCCAGAATAGCGTTCAGTTGAAGTTATACTCAATTCTTGCTCTCTGACTTGAAGTACTTCAGTAGCTCTTGATTTTATTTGCGTGTGGATCCTTAAAATACACAAAATGAGAACTTCAGAGGACTGGTAATCCTGATAGTTAGGATTCTTGTCTAGTCTAGGTTAAAGTTTCATATAGATTATATCAGCTGTATATGTTAATTATATCTTTCCTGATATTCATATGACAACGTATTTACCTACAGCTCTGTAATCCTTATGGCAGAATTATGGAGAAGGCAAAAATTTACTTTCTTCACAACTCAGAAAATTGTTCTGTTAAAATTTTCCTGCCTTCATTTTTGGGGAGAGAGTGAATCTATAATATAGTAAGTAGAAGAAAAAAATGGTTATAAGTGAGACCCATTAGGGAAAAAAAAAATATTTTAGATGAACAGCATTTCAAACTCTCAAATGTTTATAAGACAGTGAATTACATACCCTTGATACTAAAACACATACACATTTAATGTGAAGGTTTTAAGGTAAGGTGCACAAATATTAAGAAATACTAGAATGAATTTGCTGTTACGACTTTAATTGTGAAATCAGTGTCACTCTTACAGAGTTTTAAGTTTACTTTTGTGGCTTTGCTAAGCATCTCCTGTTCTAGTTCCTCCTGCCACTTCTACTGGAACTTTGGCTGCCTTTGTGTTTGTAACATTGTTGACTTGACAGGTTGAGCTGGGGTTTATCTGCTTTTTAAAACTCTGTTTTTGTTTGGTTTGGTTTTGACAGTGACTAATAAAATTAATTAGTAACTTTTTTACTTTTAAACAAAACTTTATCTAAGGTATTACATCAGCACACTTAGTACTTAGCTCCATAGTTAAAACAAAAAGGTAGATAGAATATGTGAGTTGTAGTTGTCTTTCTTGACAAGCTTTTGTAAATTAATGATGGTCCCATTATCTTCATTACAAAATTGTCTATTCTCTTGCTACCTTTATGAATCTTTTCTGCATATTTCAGGAACTTTCCCTTGTTTCTGTCAGCCTACCAGACGTCTTTTCTAGATTCAGGTTTCAGATCACTTATGCCAGGTTAATGAAGCCAGGGCAATATATATTATTTTTTTTAATATAGCTTTTTCCATTGATTCTTAGTGCTCTGTTGGAACATATTTTATCTTGGCTTTTTTCCTCCCTTCCAACTACAAAGTTACTGCCCAGTCTGTTCATGTAATTTCTTCGCATTGTACGGATTGATTTCCCTCCAGATAAATCCCTAGTTCTCTACAGTAACTCAGGGTTTTTCTTCCTTCAGATCCCTGCTTCATTCAGTGTACAGATTGAGCAGTGTTCAACAGATGTATTTTTTTAATCCTTACATTCATTGTGGATCCTGCTTTTCATTTAATGCATACTATTTTAACTTTGTTTAATGGAACATTATTAATTCTCCTGGCAACTTTTTTGTATGAATGTAATTTTAGTATTTTTGAGCTTCACATATTTCAGTTCTTTCATCTAGTTCATCATCTTAACTTTTCTGTGAGCACTAGTGGTATTATATTCTGAATTTTTCATTGGCAAGCTTAGGCACTGTTGCTAAAAACATCTTCCTATTTTGGATGCCAAACTTAGCAATTTAGATATTTTTTTCACAGTATGTAGTAGTAATTCAACTTCATATAATCAGAATAAATTTTCACTGTCTTCATATTCAGGTAAGTTCATCTCACTTCTGTAAATGATACCTCTAACTTTTGAAATTGGGCAGCCAGAAAATGGAAGATCATGCAAAGTAGTGGCCACTTGGAAAGAGATGGGATGACATTCAAGAGCATTCGCCAAAAGATGATCGTTCTCCCTTTGCAGTCATCCTGACTTACTCGTTACTTACCTCACAATTACTTCAACATAAAAAAAAAAAAAAAGAGGAATGCTTGGGTCATGCTGATGATCTGATACATACCCTCAATTCAACCACAGAACAAGCCCATCACATGTGCTGAAAGAGGTAGGAGTATATGGGAGGACATAGTGCACAAACACGTGTTTAAGGACAGTCTAGTAATAAATATGCCCTATAATTGCTGTACACCCAGCCTTATTTCAGGTATTTCCTAAGGTTCAGAGATTTGCTTTGCAACCGTAATGCTTTATTTTTTTGCTTGCACACCCTTTCTGTGTCTTTTAAAAGAAGAATCCTTTTGCTTTTTTTCCTGCAAGAATTTTGAAATGTAAAATTCTTGATGTGTTTGTGGCTCTCATTGCTAGTACTGCTTAGAACTAGCTAGTTTATTTTTTTTCTTGGCTTCAATGTGTAGCATCAGAGCAACTAATTTTTTTTTAATGGAATTCATCTTCACAATGCTTCTGTAAAATAGATAAGGAATTATTGTTATGTTTTTACTGATTAACTGAGGCGCAAAGAAGCTGAGGAATAAATTTTCTACAGGCCTTACTTTCAATTGTAAGATACTTAAGAGTAGTTGTAGAAGTTAAGGAGTCTTCTTCATGAATCTGATCATCATAAGGTAGAAATCTGCTCCTCCATCTGGCTTAGTTTCAGGCTGCAAAAACCCCCTCATTTACTGATTCATGCACAAAGTAAGTGTTTTCTAAAGAGATAAAAGTTGTGTCCCTTTCTGCAAAGAATGGCAGAGGTCTTGCTTTCAAAATAAAAAGATGAAGGGAATTAAAATTAAGAAATTTAAGGTAGCCCATTTGTCCCAAAAGTGGGATACTCGGGTACCCTCTCTAGGTACTCTGCAGGACTTCCTTCTGAACTTCTGGTGAAAAGAGTTGAACTTTTGGTAAGAATAGCTTAACTGCTCTCTTGGTTTGTATAAAATGGAGGTGGATATCAAGCTGATAAGGATATAGAACTTGAGTTTTTCACTTCCTTGGGTAAGTCTCCTACATAGCATTATGTAGAAGCTAAATGTCATGATCATGCTCTCTAGATGTGCTCAAAAAAAGTGGTTATGCAATGTTGGGTTTTTTGGGGACAAACTGCAGTAATGTGAGTTAGGAGTCCTCTGAGAATGCTTTCTGGACTAACTAGGAGATTTAGAATCTGATCTCAAGATCAAAGTTAGGTTTAGGCATAAGATAGATGCTTAATTGATCTATCAAGACTAAAGCAGTCTTGGGCTTATGAAGAGATACCATTTTAGGCATCAGGGTAATGTTAAAATGTTTTCTGTGCTGTGGAGCTGATGAATCTCAGGTAGCCAACAAATTTGCATATTTTGTCCCCTAAACTCCTCCAACCGATCTGAGTTCTGCACTGTAATCTCTAGGATACTTCTGCTGAGTAAGAAGCAGTATGCTCTTGCTGGTCCAAAGTTAAAAGCATGCTACTGCGTAAGTGTCCTGCCAAATAAATTGCATCACAGCTCTGCTCTGTCTGTCTTTCCATCAGTAAAGATGCTAATTTGAATGTGCCTTCTTACCAGTTGCTGTTTTGTAGAACTCAGAAGCAGCTTATTGTTCCTGAAGCTTCTGCCCTCTTTTGGATTTGGTAGAAATTGACCAGTGAGTTCAAACATTATTCAAACAAAGACAGCATGGTTATAATTTTTTTCTTAATAGCTCTCAGAGGTATTTCAGATATGTAACGTCTTTCTGTGAAAATCACCTATTTCTTAGCATCTTGTTGAAGAACTGCAATACCTAACCACAGATCTCAGTTACGAATGCACGACATGTTATCCAGCAGGGCTAGTAAAGCTGGAAGCAGGATATGGTTTCATGCCAGGATCTCTGTACTAAGCAGGCCACAGACTTAGAGCAGTTCTGTTGTGTTGCTTTGACTTCTACACTTCACATTTACCCCTTTGCATCAATTCACGTTCACCTGGTTTTTTTATGCCTTTCATTTAATCTTTCTTATGTTCTTGCTTCTACTTCTTTCCATTCCTGTCTCTTTCAGTGCTTTTATTCCTTTTCTTAGAACATTGTGTTTCAATCAGATCAGATTAGTGCAAAAAACATCTGGAACAGTTTATTTACATTTATCATTTTGAGTTACATAGTTGTTTATTAACTTGCACTATTTTTCATTATAGCAAAGCAAGCAATGGAGCAGGGAAAATCTCCAGTTATAATAGACAACACTAATACTCAAGCCTGGGAAATGAAGCCATATGTGGAAGTGGTAGGTTTTGTTGTGTGATTATATCATCTGTTAAAACTTTGCAAACTTACCTTCACATGTGATAAGTTGGTCTGTTTTGTCCAGAAATATTTTCCCTTCTCAAGTTTCTAAAGAGAGACTGCTTATTGATACGATCAGTAATTGGTACGGCAATGGTTCGGACCAATTTAACTATTGACTTGATCTAATCTGCTTAGGCTGGAATGAAAGCTAAGACAGGTTGGGGGTAAGTGAAATTCAGCATGCTACCACCACAGAATTAACTACATCTGTTTGTTATACTGGTTTATAAAGTTTTTGTTACATTTTATGTAATAATAATACACATATCACACGTTTTTCTTTGCTTGCTGCAGGCTCTAGAAAAGGGATACAGAGTGGAGTTCCATGAGCCAGATACTTGGTGGAAGTTTGATCCTGAAGAATTAGAAAAGTAAGGTTTATATTACAGAAATCATTGTACTTTTTATATAGAGATAGATAGATAAATATACACACATATATATTTATGTAGTATGTTATATTTTATTCAGTATCTGATTTTTTAAAAAACTACTAGTATAAAATGTATTTTATTTAAATAGACGTTTTGAGACGTACCTCTAAATGGAAGTGTTATGGATAAACAAACAGACAAATAAATAGAGAACCTGTCTTGTTGGCCAAAAAAATCGATACTAAAATTTTGTTGGACATGAGTATAAAAACAATTGACCCTTTTAAGAATCACTACTATTATAATGAATAATTATTCTGAGAGATTTGTTGCTACAAAATGCTGATGGCAAGAAATAGGTAGAAGACAAAAGGAAATTATGCATTTTGTAAGGAGTGCATCAATATAAGTGCTTTGTTTTTTCTACTTTTATAGATGTCTCAGTGTCAAAGAACAGAAGTCCATTGCTAATCAGTAAAGGTTAAAAAGAAAGCTCATATTTTAGATTCTTTTATTGCAAGATTTTGTGAAATTGTCCCCAGTCTTCAGAGGATCTGACTTAGAGTATTGTTGAATGTAGTCATTGGACTTGTGGGTTGTGAGAGTGCCTGGGAAGCTGCTTATTACACCTGGTTAATGTCTCTTGTCTCAGATCATAGAATCATAGAATGGTTTGGGTTGGAAGGGACCTTAAAGATCATCTAGTTCCAACCCCCCCTGCTGCGGGCAGGGACACCCTCCGCTAGACCATGTTGCCCAAAGCCTCATCAGATGTATCTGCTTTAGGAATCTATGAGGTATTGAACCAACTTAAGGATATTTTATTGTTTGAAATGTAATGTAATATTTTCACAGTTGATCACAAAGAGTTCTCTCACTGATTGTCATTTTATATGCTTCCAGATTACTTGCCTTATAATTGTTTCAGCTTTGTAAAGTAGCCCCGACAATGCACGAAGGATGTGTGTATAATACTTACATTCCTGACTTGGACTTTATTGTGCTTATATATCTCTTAAAGTTTTCACCTTTTGCTCCTAAGTTACCACTACCTTATTTGTAGAGATGGAGTCCTCTCTCTGTAGGGTGGATTCTAGTAAGTTTTTCTAGTTTGGGGTGCAGCAAAGCCAAGTGAGGAAGCTGTCTTAGTAACCAGACATTTCTAAGATGATCCGTGTGAAATTTCCATTACGAGACACTTATTTTCCAGGAAAATTCACGTTTCGCATGGTCTTAACAGGTAACAGGATAAACAAATGTGAAGTGTTGTTACCATTTAATCTCATTGTCTGGTAATTAATTGTAGGAGTTAAATATCTTTCCCAAAACCAAAGGACAACACTTGAACTGTGAAGTACTGCTACCAGTTGTTAGCAGCTTCCTAGAAATGTTTTAGCAGCTCCATTTGCTTTAAATATTTGAATGGAGGCCCACTGTCTGTTTTTTGAGAGTTTAGGAAAGGTAATGATGTGAGGTTTCATTTTGTTTTTCAGTTGCTTGGGGCGAGGGCTCAGTTTTTAAGGGGTGTTTTTTCCCATATTCATGTGTTTGGGAAATAGATAATGATATAGATGTTATTGTAGTTTTGGGATTCTCCTTATGAATTTTGAGCTCAATATTTTGTGCAGTACCTGGGCAAATACTATGCTAATAATAGATTTGGGTAATTTTATTAGCTGTCTGGAGTCATACGTTCTAATTCCGTCCTAAACAGGATTGCTTAAGACCCTGTTTCTGATAGTTGAAAAAAAAATACACTTGCTTGTACTTCAATTAGCAAAAGACTTTTCTTGTGTTTTGGATACATGCTCCTTTTTTTTTTTTTTTTTTTTTTTAGTGGCACTGTGTAGATTGTTAGTAACTTTTATCAAGTGATACAATATACCGATATTCTAGAAATCAGGTGGATTTCTAGATATTATACTTATAGGGTTGTTTCTTCCACCACTTGGTGTGTTTGAGAAACCTGTGAAAAGGCTTACTAGGTCAACACTGGGTGAATTCTTGATGTCAAAAATGTGACAGATGTTTTAGTGTGAAATAGATGTCAGTGTCTTTTTTTGTGCCTGTGAGGTACAAATTATCTTTAGACTCACTCATGAGTGATTTTGCTTTTAGTTCAGTTTTGTGTACTTCACTTTTGTGAAAACATCTTGACTCTACAGACATATGCCTTGCGGTAGTGGTCAAGACATCTTTCATAGCATTTAGATTTTTATGTAGAGGATTTTGTACTTTGATACCGTTTTTTAGGAAATCTTGAAAACTGCAGGTGAGAGAACAAGAGAGTGGTAAAATCATTGCTAGAAGAGACAGATTTTTTTATTATTATTTTCTTTAAGTATTTAATCAGTGTTGGATGAAAAAATTACCCTCTGTCTTGTTTCTGAGTAGCTGATCAGTTGGGAACTAGAACTTTTTTAAAAAGAAGTATACATTTGATTGAAGCTTTTGGGGAGTAACAGGTATCCTGTGTATAATCTGTATTTTGGGATGGATATTTTAATTTTAAAAAAGGTTACCTACTGTGTAACTTTACACAGAAGTGAAATGCAAACACGTTTAATGTAATCCTTTTTCCTTCAGTGTAATCATAAAACTGCAATTTGCTATTGCCTTCGTCAAACTTGCGCTAATTCTGTTAAGTAATAATGTCTGTGCAGGATTACTTTGTCAGCATATTCGTATATAAGATTCTTCTAGTGTCAGAGCATTTAATAGTGACAGAACTTTGCTTTTATCAATAGATTCTGTGTTCCTCCAGGCAAAACCAGCTTCCAAGGTATAAATACCTGTTAGGAGCTTTTGCTGCTACATCTGTATTGGTTAAGGATAGATGGCTTTATGCTCTTTCAGCAATAGCCAAGCTGCCAAAGGATGAGTGAACAAAAGCCTGAAGAGGAGATCCCAGTATTAAATATACAGCAGATTTGTTTCGTTTTTAAAATTAATTTCTATGCTTGGTGCAATTTTTGCTGTTAGTGATTTTATTATCCAACCTTGTTCTTTAAGCAAAAGTACTTGCTCATTTATGAAGTGATTATACACAAGTCCATTCAGTTGTGGATGAGTATGCACTTTATGCCCAGAGGACTTGAGCTGTAATCTTTTTCTAAGAGTACTAAGATATGGAAAATACTGAATAACTTTGTGCTTCCACCATTTGGCATAAAAGGATTTAGATTTCCTCTTCTGTGTTTTTTCTGTCATGAGAGTCAAATGCTTTATAGAATCCCCATATTTCTAGAGGATTGGCTTTTTTCTCTACTATTAACCTTGTTCATATTCATTAATAAAATAAAAAATGTTAACTGATAAGTTCAACATGTTGCTGCTCCTGGACTTCTTTAGCATAATGTGGAAATTAGTATCATGTAAACAATGAGCTGCTTGTGATGATCACTCTAGCTTCTGATGTTCTCTCAGGGAAGAGTGTCTGTGAGAGAAATACTCTGCTTAAGTCTTTTCTTCCTAGAAAGAAAACTGATAAAATACACCTTAAGGAGCCAGCATCATTCTAAATACTTCTGAGATCACCACTTCTTCCATTCTGAATGTAGTTTCATTTTTTTATGATAGTTTGCACGTTATTCATTCCTGTACTCATTAGCTAGTATACCACGAAAATCTGATGAATAAATAGAAAGCAAAGTCTTTCTAGGATTATTTAGGTACATAGTCCTGGTGAATAACATCACAGTTCTGTATGAAGGACGACTGTATTGTTTTCTGTTATTTAGCATATGCAGTGGTGAATTGTTAAAATAAACTTTAATACAAGTTGAATACTGAGAGAATGAGAATACAGTGTAATAAAAGTGAAATTTCAAATATGAAAAGCAAGAAGAATTGTAAAATTAGAGGTTTTTTCTTTTTCTTAAAGACTGTAAACATATAAACATACCAGACAATTTATTTAAATTTTTATTTTTGTAGGAGGAATAAACATGGGGTCACTCGTGAGAAGATTGCTCAGATGTTGGAACGATATGAATATCAAATATCCATACCTATTGTCATGAATTCAGTGGTACCTCCCCACAAAAACACACAAAGGCCACCTCTGCACCGAAGACATAGGTGGGGAGGCAATACAGACTCATGGAATTCTTTCAGTATTTCCAGTAGCCGATAACACCGTTGCAGTCAGTTAATAAAAATCTGTTACTTGCCCTTCTAAAACACATCATCACCTCCAATAAAGTAGTGATCTTCTGTATTTTAAATAGGCCTCTTTCAAGACCATTTTCTTTTGGAGGTTGTTCCTTTAATGAACTTGCATGTAAATAAAATTGTACATTAAATGTTTTTTAAAACTATATTTATTACAGTTGTAATAACTTTGATTTTAGTAAAATATTCAATATAGTATGACATATAGCAGAGTCTTCCTTCATAAACCTAAGACAATGATGTTGTCATATATCAAGTAACTGTTGAGCAGTTTTTTTAAAGAGGTCATATTAGGAATCTTTTAAAAGAGAATTTAAGCCCCAGAAGAAGAGGTTATTTATGCAATAACCAATTTTAATGATTGAAATTTAGTCTCCTTATCTTTTATGAGATTTTTTTTAAAAATACAATTCTGTCTCAGATTGTCTTTTTTTTTTCTATTTGGCATATATTGCCAATCGGCAAAATTTTGGCATGTATTTTCTTGTTTCGGTTGTGGTTTTTGTTTTGGTTTGTTTTTTTGTCTCAGAAGCTCATCTGGCAGCTGAAGCAACATTCTGCCAATACAGTATTCACCAGCCTTAAACTGTGTAAAAAAATTGTTTATTTGTTTGTTCTCAGTGGTAGTATATAAACTATGATGGTGACTGCACACCACCAACCTCTTTGTGCTGACTAAAAAAAACCTAAATTTTATCACTAAACCCTCAAAATTTCACAGCTGTGTCTAAGACAATTTTTTCATTTATGATAAAAATGAAATATTAAAGCATTAGGCTGTCAAGTCCTAGTCTGCAGCTGGGCTGCATCAATTCAATATAAATAGTGGATATAATTCTGTAAAACCATGTTGCATTCCTGATTTTGGCACAGTCAATGGTAATCTGTTTTGCACATAACAAAGTATGAGCCAGCATGGGGATTGACTAATTTACTGCCGTTTTTCTCTTTAAAAATGATGGATTTGTAAGTTTTTGCTTTGCTTGCTTTCTAACAGCTTGCTGTATTAATAAAATATTTTTGTCTTCAGTGTTGTTTTAGTAGTTCAGTGCAACAGTTCTATTATTGTCAAGCTTTTAGGATTTTATACAGATTAACATTATTACTAACTTGCTAGCTGAAATAACCGATCTTTAGGTCTAACTACATTTGGTTTCCTTATACTCTGAATGAGTAAATCTTGAACAGGAATTTTTGTCAAGAACATGAGTGCATAGCTAGAAGAATTTTCATGGTTTTCTACTACTAATTTGGTGTAATAGCCATCAGAATTTTGAAAATTCTAAAGCCAGCATAATATTTTTTATTTATATACAATTTTTTAATAGGCCCTAAAAATTACTTCATCTTTAAAGTCTGAATACCATGAAAGTTGAAATTCCAGGAATATAATGAGGTATCTTTCTGTGGGTTTCTAATCCTATTGCACAAATCTAAATTTGTACAGTTTAATGTATATCTGCAATAATATTTTCATAAGAGATTCTATTCATTATAAAAGTTGACGTGTGCAGTTTCATGTCTTAGTAATTGTTTTAATTATTTGAAAAATAATTTAAAATGTTTCAGTAGTGCATGGATTGTTAATATATTGAATAATGTGTATATATAAAAAGAAGCTCTCCAACTATATTAATTGTCTTCCTTCATTGTCTGTTATTCATACCAATTATGTTACTGTGTATTAGTTTTTATAGTTATCTTCCATGTCTCAAAAGAATCATGGAAATAATTGTAAATGGTCAGTAATACTTTAATTATCCCAAAGTTTCTATATTTAAACATGAAAGCATATTTCAAGTGAGAAGAAGATTAAAAGGTTTTAGAAAGACTAATTTTATTTATTCTTTATTCCTTTAAGCTTTAATGAAGTGATAAAATTTATTGAGGCTTTATGTAACATTCACACAGTGTGCTAAGCTATGACAAAAAAGAGCTGATTATTGAAAACTGATGTTCTGATATTTTTTGGTACCTTCTGTCTTCAGTTTTAAAGGAAACTGATTTTTTAGCAATATTTAATTGATATTTAAGCCCTCTCTAACTGAAATTTGTATTTAAATAGATGTGCGTTCATCCTGTTTTAAAATGGTGCAGCATTTTTAGGTGTTATCTTTCTAAAAAATTATTGGTGGATGGTGAGTATTTTTGATATGCAAAGCATGCAGATTGCTAATAGGCTTGCAGTTTGCAAAGGACACATAACAAGAAAGGAATGCTTTGCAGCTTGGCACTGCATCAAACATTTCTTGCAAACTGCTTAATCTATAAAGCTGTTTTTCAAGGTAAGTACAATGACATGGTAGGTGAAAACACAATGGAATTGCTGTCTGTGTAACACATTTTTGTTTCATGGTATATTCATATTTCATGAGGATGTGGCAGTCATGGTCATATGTTTATGTCTCACAGAAGTTGGTTTAACACTGCAATATTTACATGTAAAAATAATAAAAAGATGATGTGAAATACATGTTGCAGGTATTGAATTTCTCCTGCTCCCTCACAAATGAGGAAAATCACTCATTTTGTCAAAAAGTATGTCCCTGAAATGTAAGAACTCGCTGTTCAGTTAGACTGAGGATCTAAAAGTTCTTATTATCTCGCATAGTTTTTATGCAATATACCTGTTGATGATAATGTACCTAGCATGATGTTCCCTGTTTAGATTTCTAGTAATTTGCTAGTTCATCATATTTCATGAAATAATAGTGTCAGATTTTTTTTTAATGTAACTAATGCGTAGAACCTTACTTCAAATTTGCATTCATAACATTATCTGCTGCATGCTTCAAACTAGTGAGATGTTTGGTAAGTAAATTTAAACAGAATAGTTAAGATACTCAGCTGTAGTTTTAACATCCTACTCTTCTAAGCATGAAATTTAAATGAGAATGAATTTGCAGAACGTACATAATTTGGTTCATATAGCTGACCAGTTAGTGTCAGCATGCTAACATCAGATGTATAATATCAACATATTACATGTTCCTATAGAAAAAAAAAGTTCTAGTTTTACTGCTTCATTTAAACTGCTGTTGCTTGTTTGATTTACTTCCTGAGTTATCAAAAGTTTTCATCAGCCTTGTCTTTGACAGTATTCTTACTTTTGTTTAGAGGAAAAAAAAAAACCTAGAAACTAACAAAATAGTAAAAAAAAAAAGAACCCACCCCAGAACCTATGAAACCAAACCCTAGAAGACCTCTGTGCTGGTTTTCGCTGGGATAGAGTTAATTTTCTTCATAGTAGCTGGTATGGGGCTGTGTTTTGGATTTGTGCTGAAAACAGTGCTGATAACACAGGGATGTTTTCATTACTGCTGAGCAGTGCTTACACAGAGCCAAGGCCTTTTCTGCTTCTCACACCACCCCGCCAGTGAGCAGGCTGGGGGGGCACAGGAAGCTGGGAGGGGACACAGCCAGGACAGCTGACCCCAACTGACCAAAGGGATGTTCCATACCAGGTGATGTCATGCTCAGCTTATAAGGGGCTAGGGGGAAGAAGAAAGAAAGGGGGGATGCTCAGAGTGATGGCGTTTGTCTTCCCAAGTAACTTGTGCATGATGGAGCCCTGCTTTCCTGGAGATGGCTGAACACCTGCCTGCTGATGGGAAGTGGGGAATGTATTCCTTGTCTTGCTTTGCTTTCGTGCGTGGCTTTTGCTTTACCTATTAAACTGTCTTTATCTCAACCCAGATTTTCTCACTTTCACTCTCCCCCACCCCACCCAGGGGGAGTGAGTGAGTGGCTGTGTGGTGCTGAGCTGCTGACTTGGTTAAACCACGACAACCTAATGTAACACTTTTATTATTTTTTTTTAATGTGATGTTAAGTGATCTCCTGTGAGGAATTCTGTCTTCTGCTCTTGCAGTCATGTCCTCTTTACTTTCATTTTAATCTACTTCGCCATGCTGCCTATTTTTTTTAAGTTTTTGTTTTTAAGAAAAAAGCCAAGATTTTGTCTTTTGTCTTGTATCTCTTGAAACCTGCTGCAGGGATGGTAGTTTTTCTTTGTTTCTCTGCTAATAGATAACTGAAAACCAGGCTTTGCCTAGCTGAGATGGGACCCATAACGTTTATATTTGATTGTTTCGTGTCTGTCTGCCATGAGGTAGATTGTGTTGGTATTTTCTTCTTTGAGCTGACCGGTAGGATGCATTTTCAGTAAATTAGAAAAACTCCACACTTTTGTATTTTCACATTCATGGGTGATACCTGTAGTTTTAACTGCTGCTTCCTCCTAGCAATCGAGTTTTCCGGAAGAAGTGTTTTCCTTCTGTGCTAGGACATCATGGAGATGAGGTAACTAGGTATATGTTGAGAATTAGGGAGTTTCCATACAGAAGAACAGAGGTGTGTATTACAATTCCCAGTAAAAAGCAATAAGAAGACATAGTGTGGAAATGCAGTTCATAAAATGGAAATTAAGTACTCAATTTAAGAGTGATCAGATGTTTCATATAGATTGGATGTGGAAAGATTTCACTTTAGTGTTTCTACAGTGACACTTTCTCATTTCAATGTTTTATGTTCTCATCCTTTTGAAATAAGAGCACGAGTAGGGATTAAAGCTTTTTAATAATAATTTCCTAGGTGAGAATCTACTTGTACATCAATTAATTTTGGGTTGGTTTTTTTTTTTCTTTTTATAGGCTAATTGGTTGAAATTAGCTGTAAATCAGCTTGAGTTGACAGAAAAATACATGAAAACATAGCTGGTCTTTTAAGTATTTAGCTGATAAAGTAACAGGATTTGTCAAGGTCAGATAATCTCAAATTAATCTAATTTATTTCTGTAGTAATGGAGAAGCAGCAAGTGGTGTTTTTCAGATAGACTGTCACTGTCATTTTAGATCAAGGACATTAAAAGGATTGAAGTATTGTGTCTGGAAGGGGTCTTTGCAGTTTCCTCTTAGCTGATGATGTTGCTACTTCGTTTCTCAGGTAGGGCAGTCCTTGACTAATGTCTGCCTTACCAATACTTAGTGCTGTTGTAACAATACCATGCTAAGTCAGAATATATTGTATCCATGAAGTAATTTTTTTTATTTATTTTTCCAGTTGTACTTGCAGTCTCTTTAGCGAGGTTAAGTATTTTTCTCTTTGGGGCTGTTAATCAAATTCA